AAGAGTTAGTTCTCACACACAAACACGCAATTTGAGACGCGTATTGAGATTGTGAAAAAGCTGCAACAACGCTGACCATGACGAAATACCGAATTTCTCGAACGTGGCACGCGGTTTGATGTATACCGAGACTTCAAAGAAGCTGCAACCATGTTGCTGGCGAGAAGTTTGACCATGATGAAGGATCGAATTCTCGAGACAGTTCTCACCGAGCGTCGTGTTCCAACGAACCCCCGTATAAATCTGCCCCAAGTACGAGTTATACGGGTTACAGTCGTCTTGAACGCACTTTTTTTCTTCTCGGTGCTTCACTCGTTTCCTCCCGTTCCGGTACACACTTCTCTCGTTGCTCGATTGTATCTCAAGAACCATCATCTCCTCTTCTCATCATTTTAAAGTATAATCTCGTCGCAAACTTTTATGGACAGACGGAACCATTTAACAACTTAATGCACACAGATTCGTGCTTTCAAGGCGCCAGAATCGAATCGTTATCAATTCTTTTTAACGTTCGATCGATTAACAATACAACGTTGCGCAACAATCTTCTTCGGTTCGAGATATCGGCTATCGCGAGATTACTAAGGCAATGCTCGACGATAACGAGCGCAAAGCCACTGCTGTTCTCTGCAGCGCAGCAAATTCCTCGCGGGCCTATCGATCGGTCGGGACATCGATTACTCGTCCCTCCTCGATTTAGCACGATAAAGCATCTCGAGACGATCGAAACGACCGGTGTTAAGGGGTTAAGGGCTGCTCCCGCCAAGTGAAACTGTGTCGTGTGTTTCGGAGCCGGATCGGGTCGCTTCTCCATTCAATGAATAATACGTGCCACGGTGTTCGAGGCCGTGGCGCTGCTCTCTGTTGCATCGAAGAAGACTCCGGGCACGTTGGTGTGCGTGCGCCGGTATGATCTACGGGGGTTATTACAACGGCAGCAAGCCACGACGCGACGAGGCGAGTGCTTACCGAGAATACTCGAACCAACCTCCACTACTCTTTGCCCCCTGCCACGATATAACATCCTCGCCCCCACCGTTCCACCAGAAATCCTCCCGGTAAATACAAGCCGGCCCGGCTGGCGTATTTCTTCGCGGATGCTCGAGTTTCGTTGGAAATTAGGCTAGCCTCGCAGGATCCACCGAGATCGCAATTGCCTTTCGCATGGCAGAAATTTACGACATCGAGAATTCATGCTCGTTGAATCGCAGCAATGTCTTTGCTGCGATCGAATTCTGGGACATTCGGCTAGAATAGTTATTAGACTGTTGGATATAGATTCGTGAAAGCTATATCTTCGAGCCTGTCAATGTTTTACCTACTAAACATTATACTTGAATATCTTCGTAATAAACACGTTACGTGCAATTTCGCACTTAAATATTTTCTACGGATATCTACGTGTTAAGACATCTTTACATCAGCTGAAAGTGTTAATTTTTCACGAACCAAATGGCCATAAATGTAAATGAATTTCACTCTAGTCTAAGTAGAATTGAAACCTTTTACTAACGTAGTATACTACGATCGATCTAACAAAAAGTCAATTCAAATTTGGCGCGCCCGTATGGGATCGAGATCGGTCATTAACGCGATACCGAGCATGGTTGCCTCGAATGTTGTTCGAATCAGTCCAGCACAGAGTCAGGTTTAATTTCACACGGTCGGATAGAACGAAACGGCGGAGAGGAGTCCGTGCGAACGAGAGAGAGAGAGAGAGAGAGAGAGAGAGAGAGAGAGA